CTCCCAGGAGAATCTCCAGATGGATGGGAGGAAGGTGCTGTTAGTATTTATATTAAAATAATATGCACACAACAGATCTTATTTGAAAGAGTTTATTCAGGGGAAGGGAAGCAGAAGAGAGTTAGGGCTTAAGTGGGCCATGAGGGCAGAAAGAGAGAGAGACAGAGACAGAGACAGAGAGAGGAAAGAACAAGAGAGGAGCAAGAGAGCGGAGAAGGGCAGGGGTCCTTTTATCCTGGGCCCCTGGGGGTGTGGACCAATGATGACATCACAGGTGCCTAAGCAACCTGGGAGTGGGCTATTACATCAAGATTTCTGAGCTAACAGGTACCCTCTCTTATTATGGGTTGTCTCTCAGCTGCAGAACACTGAGGCAGGGGGAGGGAGCACATCCTAATCAGTGTGTGGAGCAGATTCATCAGAACTGTCATGGAGTTCAGCCACCTGGGATATGGGCAGAGGGAGGGAGGGACCCCATGTGGAACTACTTTGTGAGGCAGTGCAGACTGGAAGGATGTTCCCCATCTGGACCAAGCTAAGCCAGGGTGCTCCAGCTCCAGAGGACAGCGGACTTGAATGTCTCTCCAGCAATGGTATGCATCCACAAGGACCAGCATCTTAGGTGAGGGTTGGTTCCAGCTTGATTCTGGGATCTGAGAGACTGTGGTTAGCACCAAAGGCCTGGTGGTGGCAAGATGAACTACCATAACCAAGATCTAGTTACTAGCTGATGCAGGTCAGTTGTATGCGGAAGAAAAAGAGATAGGCAGGGCCCTGTGGCTTTTACCCTGGCAGAGTACTGTCAGGCCTCAGGAACAGTAGAATCTCTTTTGTCACTGACCCTTGTTACTTTGTGCCCACTGTGCTCAGGTAAATGGCACAGATATCTGTGGCCTGGCGTACTGATAGCCTGCCAGCTCTTATTCCTGTTCTCATGCACATTGGTGATGGGAGGAATAGGAGCTGCTGTGGTCGGTTCCCCTTCCTCCTTGGCTGTAGGGCTGTGTTCTATTGAGGCCAGAGCTCAGGAATCAGACTGACTTGTGTATTCAAGTTCTGAGTGTCTTGGGCTATACATCACTTCCATCTCTGAGCCTCAGTTTCTGTGCTGAAGAGAGGGTAATTACAGAGTCCACTTCCTCCAGTTGGGAACACTAGAGACACATACATGGAAAGCATGCAGTAGATAGGAGATGGCATTAGCCTTGGCCAGAACAAAATATGTTGAAGAAGAACCCAGCAATGGGGACATTCTCACTTCTCGCATCCACAGAGACCATGAGAGTGAGCACACTTGTGAAGAGAAGGTTGTGGCCCCAGCACACTGCTAGGTGTCATGTTCAGTGACTCAGCTAGGAGGCCTGGAAGGGGTGAGTGTTCATTATAGGAGAGGGTAGGGGTCAGTAGTGGAGAGTCTGGGAACTAGGACCCCATCTGATGAATAGCAACATGGTGTCCATATAGCTGGTATCCTGGAGGGAGTGGGGACTGGTAACAGCTGTAGTGTGTCTAAACCTTCTTGTTCTTGGACACCCTGCCTGTGATCCCTCCTCCTCTGAGGACCTGGGAACGTCCCTTGCCTCTCACATTGCAACATTACCTAACATCAGTATTTGTTCCACCCAGCTGTGCTCCAAGGTGGGATTAGTATGGACACCCAGGCTGACCAGTTGGTCCCTCTGTCCAGGACTTAGCATTGGGATGGGGAGATGCTGACACTCAGCCATGGCACCTGAGCTCAGGAATGTTCCTTGGCGCTATGCTCTTAGGCAGGTAGTGAGAACAGACTACCTGTGGATGCCCAATGAGAAATCCAGAAAGAAGCCCAGAGGAATGGGAGAAAAGTGGAACGGAGAAGGCTGCTACTTGCTTCTTGAAGACCTTCCAGGAAGCTTCTGGTTCATGGCCCTTATGAGATGCCTCATGTCCTTATGTAACCCACTTATTAAATGAGCCGGCCTCAGCCAGGTATAAGAAGAAACCAACCTTGTTTTTCCTCGGTGTACTTCCTCTGTGGAGATTTATTTTGTTTTAGTTTTTTCCCCACTCACCCTCTCCCCCAATGAAGCTGAGGACTAGACTGGACCAGGCCCCTTAGTCTCACCAGTGACACAACTCAGTGTTTCTAACAGTATCCTTGTTCCAGACAGTTCTGTGTAGAGATCAGGTCTGGACGCCTAAAGCCTGGCAGCTTTGCTGGCCTGGAGCCTGGCAAGACACACAGTGTGCTGCTTTGCTGGGTTCTGCTAGTCCCCCTGCCTCTCTCACCAGCCTCCAGTGTGCTCTGGGCCTTAGGAAGGGGGTGGGGAGGTGGCCTGGTTTTCATTCAGAGCTTGTGTCATCCCCTCCCCCCTTGTGATATTTCCCTTTCCTTCTGCATACCTCCAGCTCTCCTCCTTGAAGGTGGAATGCTGCTTCTCCAGTATGACTGACCTTGCCCCTGCTCCACCAGGGTATGCTCTGGCCCTGTGCTCCCACTATCTCCCTTCCGCCCTGCTTTGATGCCTGGCCTTACACTTAGGGTTCATCCTGACATTAACTGTTGCTTGGCTTGGAGTGAGGGACCACCTCCCTCCCCTGCAGTTCTGGAGGACACTCCCTCCTCTGGGGTCTTTTCTGTACCCTGAATGCACAGATCCAAGGAGGGCTTTGGCTGAAGCTGCAGAGTGTTTGCAGAAACCTCTGCACAGTGGGCTCACCCTTGCTCTGGAATGGGTGGTCCTTGGGAGCTGTCACTTTGTCATTAGCCTGTGGACTCTCAGGTGAAACCACCACAGTTGGGCACCTTTTTGCACATCTTACAGTGCCATTTTCTTCCTCTGGGTTCCCTTACTACAGTAAGACTGGGACAGGTTAGGGATAGGAGGTCAGGGAAGACCAGACACCAGACAGCTTGTGCACTCACACCACCACTGCAGCCAGAAGCCTCAAGGTTGTTTTCAGATTTGCTCAAAGCAGCCTTTGGGGAGGGGCTTTTCGGTGCCACTCAATGAAACTGACATTGAGGGACAGGAAGAAGGACTGTGGACTTTCTTGCACATACAGACTTCATCCATATGTGCAGATAGGTGAACCCACCAAGGAGGAAGAGCTCTGCAGTGTTGGAACTTGTGTAATTGTGGGTCTGTAAAGTCCCCACCTGGTGAGGAAGGTCAGAGTGTTATCCTCTGGCCAGTTAGAGCCCAGGATGCTGTCTAGCTGTCTGTGTGCACTCACATTCAGGCTCCTGAACACAGTCCTGCCTCCTGCCTCCCGCCTGCTGCTCGTGAGCTGACCTCCCCCTCCAGGTTTTCCTTGGGAGAACAGGCTTCGAATTTCTACAAGCCCCATTCTTGTCTTTCCCAGACTTGGCTTAGGGGCTAGAACTAGTCCCTTGTTCTTACTGGAGATTACTCAGTAAGAGCAGTTGCTGTGAAAGCAAGAGGACCTGAGTTCAAATACCCAATACTCACTTAAAAGCTAAGCATAGCCACAAGTGCCTGTAACCCTAGTGTTTGGAGATTAGAGACAGGCAGATCCCAGGAGCTCACTGGACAGTTATTCTTAACAAAACGGTGAACTTCAGATAGAGGAAGACACTTGACATCCTCCCCTGACTTCTTCACACATAAAACACACATACACACACACACACACCACAACATCATGTGTGCATACATGCACATACGAACTCAGATGTGAGTGCTGGGATGAGGCTTGAGAGAAACAGTTGGTGCCATGGCCTATTTGATTTGGATTCCAAATGCTGCAGGAAAAGGGATGCTTCATACTACTCAGCCTGGCTTTCCAGACCAGACCAGAACTCTCTGTTTGGGGATTTGACTGCAAAGTCAGAGATCAGGAGGGATGGGCCTTGTTTTCCATGGCCCTGTTTCCCCACCCCGACTCCATATGTAGGGGAGGTGTGGCTGGTGTCTGTATCAAAGTTGGGACATTTTCCTCAGGCAGGGTCCAGCTTCCAGTCACCTCCAACAACTCTGGGAGATGGGAGCAAGCTAAGAACTCATGTTCAGTGCCTGGGTGGATTCTGGTGGAGTATTTTTTGCTGTTTTGTAGGGTGGGGATGCAGACCCCTCCCTCCCTCTGTAAGTCCACTTGTAGGCCCTCTCCAGACTCCTACCCCAACATAACTTGTAGAGGCATTCCCATGGCTGTTAAAGCCTGCTGGGGCCAAGAGTGTAAGCCATTGTACTTGAGTCAGTTTTTATTTCTGTCCATAGACCAGAAGTAGGTATTTCTCTGTGTCTTATTAACATGCATTTTTCCCCATCTTTGCAAACTCAAGAGGTAGCATGTGATGTTTTATCCTTCATTTAGGGCACCTCCCTTGTTCTTACTGGAGTAACATTTGTTTTTTAATCAGCCGTTTGTGACATCTCAGTCAGTCATAAACTTTATCAGATTTTCTGCCATAGTGCTTATACCTTCTGAATCTGAGTTTGCATGTGGCATGAATATTAATTCTATATTTGCAGTTAACATACACAGCAATATATAGCACAGAGGCTTCTCTTGTTTGATATCAGCCTTGGTCATTTTTGCCCTTGATTTCTTTATGGCTTTAGAGCTCTCCATCATGCCTGTAATTGCCCTCTCTAGTCTGTTTTGTAAGAAGACAGCTCTGGCAGGCAGCGTGGGAGCTTCTTGCAGCAGTGTTGGGGGAGAAGGCTTGGCTTGGATGATAGAGCAGCTGTAGCTAGGGGAAGGCTGGGAAAGGGAAGGCCTGAACCACAGTTGAGAACACAGGAACAGCTCCGAGAAGCCTCTGGTATTAATTGCCTGGTCTGTGAGGAGCTCTTTGGATACCTGAGACTTAGCTGGAAGTAGCTTTGCTGTAGAGAGCTATGCTGGCTAGAGGTCCCCCAGCATGAGATTCGTGGTGGGGCAGAGAGGAGAGGTGTAGTCTTGATGGCCTGTGTGTGCTAGATGTTGTGTCTCTTGCTTTTACTGACAGAAGCCCCAGAAAGGTGTTGTAGAACAGCAATACACAGAGCAGTGCATCCACGCAGCACTGATGGCTTTTATTGCAGATTTGTGTCAATACAAGGATAGTCTGGGAATATATTAAAAAAAAAAACAACAACAACAAACCTCCCTTTTATATATATATATATATACACAGAACATGCTACATTGGGAGAAATGCTGAGGTAATAGGCATGTACCCAGATGTGGACAGTACCAAATGCCCCACACCTCACACACCTGGCACATGTACCCACCGGGAGGGTCTCACCTTCTTGACTTATCTGTTGCCCTGTATGCATGGCAGTCATCTGGTAACTGTAAGCCCTGCAGGATTCAGGACTGTATGGTACAGCAGCCAGCCCTGAGGGCATTGCAACACATGGAAAACAGTCAGTTTATCCTTGTGTGGCCCCATCTTCTGGGGAGGTGTAGCTTGGGGACAGGATGCAAAATGTTACCCATGAGCACAGGACCTCAAATCGCAGTTACTGGGGTCCCAACATGCTGGCAGTGACTTCTCTCCAGTGGCGTGTCTCTGGCAAGGCAGGGTACTATTTGTGTGGAGGTTAAAATTCTGTGGAGGCTAAAGTATGAATGGAAGGTGCAAAACTGAGTACAGGTCTATGTGGCTGCCACTGTGGCCTTTGGTCTGGCCTTCCCTTTCCCAGCCGGAATCTGATCCCAGACTGTTTCCTCACCAGAGGCCAATGAATTGTGCAAAAAATAAAGGTCTGTGTGGCAGAAGAGGAGAGGCCAAGGAGAAGGGAGAAGAGGACCCTTGACCTCCAGTGAGCAGCCACAGACCAAGACACAGAAGGTGCAGGCTGAGGGGTGACTGGACGGAGGAATGCTGAGCTGTCCTGAGAAGGGGAAAATACAACCTTGAAAGGGGAAGCAGTTGATTAGGTACCCAAAGGGGCTCCGAAGAGAGAAGATCAGGAACCCTATGTGAGCGATGAGCTTACAGACATTCTGGGAAGAATCTAGGCAATGCCAAGGACTGTGTTTTGAATTCAGGCTATATAGCCTGTTCTGTCCTTAGACAAAGAGAAATGCATTCTCCTAAGTGCAAAGCTGTTGTGCTGGCGTCAGCCTCTGAGAACCGAGTGTGAAGCAGATAAGTATATGTGGAGACCCATATGTGTATCTAGACATCCCACGTGTGATATATGTGTCTAAGCACACACGTAGTGGCTCATATGCATGTCTGTCATGTCTGTTGGAGTTGGCAGTTGTGTTTTTAGTGGAGGGACTTAACTGATTGAAAGAATCTACAGTTCTGTCCTGTCCCGGGACATGAGGGGCTGTCTGTTGTAAAAGAAAGCAGGAGGGACAGAGAACACTGTTCCTTTCTATCATCTGGCAGGGTGATTTTGGACAGCAGAGTCCAGCACCCTGTCCTCCCAGACTGAGGTCACACAGCTGGGATTGCTTCTGACAATGGCTGTGAGTGGCCAGGCAGGGAGGCTTAATGGAAGGTGTTAGGGTTGGGCCGAATCATCATCACCACCTTCTTGAGCGAGTAAGATCCTCCTCGGAACTCAGCCCAGTAGACCCCATCCTGGTATCGGCTCCGGTAATGGCCCCCACGGTACCAGACTCCATTGAGGTTGGAGTGAGCACAGGCATTATACCACCATCCTCCCTTCTGATAGTGGGCACAGTTTCCTGTAGGAGAGAAGGGAGTGAGGAATGTTTAGGAGAAAGTTGTTTTGCCCCTTCCTCAGTGTGTGTCCTCATGGTCTTTCACAGGACCTACTGAGGCCTGCCTTTGTAGCTTTCCCAGATGCTGTGTTCTTATCTGTAAAAGGACAAAAACAATGCCCACCACACAGGACTGCTGTGAGAACAAATGAGGGCCATCTTTAGCCCTTGGCCTAGGATCCACTCAGAGATGGCCCTGGAGAAAATGGAAGTGGGCTGCTGTGGGCTGTGGAAAGGGAAAGGAGGTCTTTGACAGTTTTTAAGAGTTGAAAGGGCTGGATAAGTCTTTCAGAATGATGAGGAACTGTTTAAGATGAAATGCCCCTCTTGGCCTCCCCAGCCTGAATTCCATCCAAATAACTTTTTGTGCTATTTCGCAAATGAGGGATATTTCTATGAAACCCTTGGCATTATCACATCACACTGCATTTTGCTGCCAAGGACAAGCAGTTCAATAATAAGAAATGTGGGTAAGGTGTAAGCAGGCATGCAGGGGCAAGGTATCCCACAGAGGGAGGACAAGAAGAGCCCAGGCACCTGGGCTTGGTTGGAATATGGCCCTAAGAGGGGCCTTAGGGAGGAGCTGTCTCCAGCAGACGTCACGGGAGAAGGGGTGAGGAAGCCACAGGCAGCTTGAGGCTGAAGCTGTGGGCCTTAGCCCCAGCCATCTCATATTTCCCAAAGTTTTTCTTGGGGCTTCTGCTGTGCCATGTCCTGATACCACCAGGACTAAGTGGCCATGCTGCATTGGGAAAACAGGGAGAGGCCCAAGAGGCCTCTCCATACCCTGGCCCCTGGCCCTGTATATCCCTGGACCCATCTGACTGTTGCTTTACTCCTTATGATAGCTCTCAAGGATATGCTGCAGCCCCATGTCCTAGCGTGAGGCAGTTGAAGGCTGCCCTTCTGCCTTTTCTGAAAGATTTTGTAATTTTGGCTCAGAGGACACCCACTACAGAGCAATGGCTCCTTCCCTGGGGCCCTTCCAGTAGAGTTAGTTCAGAATGGACAGCTTTATCTCTGTTGTGTGAGGACAGGCAGGTCCTGTCCCACCTGGCCCCTGAAGCTGTGAGAACTACTCGCTAGAATGTGGCTGCCTTGGGGACCTGGGATGAGCTTCCCCTGACTTAGTATATAGGAATCAGGGATTGTTTGAAGTACAGGCTGTTTCTGAGACAGCCCCCAGAGCTCGCTCCTCAAAGGCACAAGGTCCACTCTGAGAGCAGAACTTAGTTGGGGGGCTAAGCAGGATGGGCTAGGCCTGCCTAGGAAGCAGACAGAGACCCAGTCCAGAGGTAGTGTTAGCCTCCGGAGCTCTGGGCCTTGCTGATTAGCTGACCTACAAGGCTTCTTGGCCTCATGAAATGTTATAAGTGTTGGGCTTCAAAGCCATTTGCTGGAGTGGAGAACACTGTGGTGGGTTGTTTACGCTTAGAGCCAAGCTGTACCTGTGCTTCTTGGACTTGTCTGCATTCTCCTTTGCTTCTTGTTTAATCAAGACCTGGGGTTGAGGATGGAATCAGGGACAAATGACTGCTTCCTAGCTGCTTTCCTCTTAGTGGCTTTCTGACAGTAGTATGCTCACATTGTAGGTAGCCAGTAAGAGAGACACTGAGAAGACTCCTTTTTGCACGCCGCATCCTGCCTCCCAGATTCAACCTTATGCAGCATGCTGAGGGTGCACGACTGAGGTGATGGGGCTGGCACTGGAGTGCAGAATGTGTGACCCAGACTCAGTGGACTGTAAACATGTGCTCTCACACGGCAGCCCTCATCTGTGAGATCTGTGTGCTTCTGCCTTCCCTTTTTGTGAGTCCACTTGTCTGAGGGCAGTAGGCAGAAGAAAGGGACTTTGAGAAGCAGTGTCAGGCAGCTTGGTACAGCTATCTGTCACCAGGGCATCTGCTTGCTCCAGGTTCTGGAGTCAGGGCCCCTAGTGCTGGTGGATCTCTCTCTTCCCCGTTCAACACCTAGGTGTAGTTCTGTTTTTTTTTCCTACCTGTGTAGACATCGTGGTCCCTGTCCAGGGTGGTGAACTGTTTGCCGTTGTGCCAGGTAAAGGAGTCACCTGCATTGCCATGATAGCGCCCCAGCCGAAGCTTATAGTACTCGCTCTCTGGCTCCAGTCGGAAGCTAGCATATTCTGCAAAGACCTTGCGGCCAGACCAGTCCTCCATGGTTACAAGCAGTTTGTAGTTGCCTTGGTTCGTCAGCCAGTAGATATTTTCCAGGCCCAGCCAGTATTCGCCGTCGATGTTCCCAAATCCTTGCTAGGGAAGATACAGGAAAGCATGAGTGAGGAGTCTGTGTCCCAGGACTAGTCAGAACATAAGGCAGGCCTGAGCTCCAATCCCTGCTGCCTGTGTATCGTGCTCTGTGACTGAGCAAGTCACTGCACCTTTGTAACCATCAATCATGTACCATTCACACATCCGAAGAGCACACCTTTTCCTTTCCGTCATGTGGGCCTGTTACCTGATCTTACCTGAGGATGCTGTAATTTCTCAAAAGTAGGAAGATGCGGTCACTTGAGAGCCTGGCACCCAGAAGGTGCAGACATCATTGCTTAGACAAGAGCCGTTGCCTCCCCCAAGCCTCAGTCGCCTTTTTTGGAGCTGGGTAATGCATATGGGTTGTATGTTAGCTCTACCACAGACAGCTGAGAATTGTGATAGGAATGTGACATCCACCCGGGGCCCTTCTAGGTTCGAAACACAGTAGTTTTGTTACTTGTTTGATACTGGCTTTGGGGCATCAGCTGAGCAGTGGTCCCCAAAGTCTTCTCAGAGCCAGGAACTATCAGCCTCCCTAGGAGGGGTGAGCACGTGCTGTGTTGTACCATCTCCATGAGAGAATGGAGGAGTGGTGGGACTCAAGGCTAGACTTTGGAGGAGGGACAAGCAGGAGATACACAGGCTGCCCAGGGTGAGCCAGGATGGAGGAGACTGGAGGAGCTGTGGCAGGACTACATGCAGTCGCTGCTTTACCACTCTGTGGACATAAGCCTGTAAGGTGACTTTGAGGCAATCCCTTCCTCAAGGCCATACACAAGAGCCACTGCTGCAGCACCTGACACAGGACAGGTGTCTATTGACCTGAGCTGCTCTTGCCATCCTTACTGTTCCCTCTTGGTTCAGAGTAGGGTAAGAGGTGTGATAAGTCCCTTGCACTTGACTTAACAAAGAGAAGCATTCAATATCCTGGGAACTAGGAAGCCCAGAGAATGGAGCCTGCAGTTAGGGCCCACTTACTGTCACCATTCCATACATATGGCTTTTAGAGCACTTTCCAGGACCTGGAGCCTTGGGACCTGCCCCTTCTGGCCCATAAGAGCAGATCCACCTTGCTGGAGGCCCTGGCTGGGAGTAAGATGCTGTCTTTGTTCCGTCTTCTGCTGAACAGCAGACAAGGAGGGGTCTGGCCTTACCACTGTGATGGCTTTGCAGAAATGGTCCTGTCCTTGTCCTTCTGGACTGGAGGTGGACTAGTCACCTTGCTGGCAATGCATACAGGCCTGCTGGTCTCACCTTATAGGTCTCCCAGTTTCTGAAGAAGTTGACAGAGCCATCCAGGCGCCTCTGGATGACGGTCCAACCCCCAGGGTCATGCCTTTGGTCGCACCACACCTGCATGAGGCGGTTGGTGTTCTCAGGCTTCACCAGGTAGATGGAGCTGGTGCTGTGGCCATCTTCCAGGGCCTGTAGGCAATCTCTCCATGGGCCTGTAGACACAATATGTGTATGTTACAACTGACTGCCAGGAGGCTATACCCTAGTGTACCTCAAAACAGCGATAACTTCTAACGGAGACGTAAGGGCACAGATTGAAGGGGCAGATCTTTGCTTTATACGTTTGAGAAGTCATGTGCTATGAAAGCAAGAGCCCAGACCAAGAGTCGCGAGGCCTGGACTCCAAGCACACTTCTGCCTTTGCACTCTCACATGTGACCTATGAGAAAGGTTCTTCATGTTTCCTAGCTCTTAGTTTCTCCTGTTTGTAGATGAGAGTCATTTTCTCACTAAGAGCTGTTAGGATTATAGGTTATTTGGGTGGATATTCTTTGAGTAATTTTTAAAGAAGTCATTTCCATTGATGCAGTGAGGTGTGTACCTACTGTGCACAGCCACATTCATCATGCTGTGTGGGCTCAATGCTATGTTTTACCAACCCAGTCCATGGCTCTCCTCACCAGGAGACAGCAATAGGGTCTAGGAGCCTGGATAGCTGCCATGTGTCTTTCAGCCCTTGACCATGGCTCTCTCCCTCCTCCAATGATGTCCTATGTTTTGACATTACTCACACTACAAGAAGGTGCAGGCTTGAGTCATCAAGGTCCAGTCAATCTGGGGTCTTCCTCAGTTGTTGAAGGAAACTTCTGGAGGTTTTCAAGACCTACCTAGTACACTGCATAGTTTAAAATAATTGTTACACTTTGCTGCATGCTTTTCAAAACATCCTTGAGGCTGGGAATGACTAAGATGAAATGTGCTAGGATGTCTGATTTGCTTATTATTTTGTATGTCTGTCCACAAATATCCAGTCACTGGTACAGACCTGTGTAGTGGTACACACCTGTCATCCTAGTACTTGGGAGGTGGAGGCAGGAGGATCTGAAGTTTAAGGTCAGCCTCTGTACAAAGTAAGTTCTGGGCCATCCTAGGTAATCAGATCCTGTCTCAGAAAACAAAAATAAAAACAACAATAAAGCCAGCTATTAATTGAACCCAGCCCTCTGAGGGGCTACCCTGCCCTTGAGAATAGGGCACTGTAGGCCATCTCTGGGGGCCAGGCTTCACCAGCATTCTCAGCTATAATTCTGGCGATCCTGTCTTTATCCCTCCATGGGTAGGGAGGTAGCTCTCAGTGGTGGGTTCACTCAGTTTTTCCTGCACAGCCAGCCCCAGCTTTGCCGCTTCCCAGAGTCTGGCACTTGCTACCTTCCTGGGCCTTGTAAGCAGTGTGGAACACCTCACAGAGTAACTGATGGGGACAGGGACCATCTGCTTCTCTGTCAGTCTCCTTCCTGTGCAAGTTTAGCTGGATGCTAAATGGTCAATGCATTTCTTTCTTCATTCTCTAGGGGGCTTCTTACAGCCTTACCTTTCTCTGCACAAAGGACAAGCAAGACCCCAAGTGCTCAGCCTGTACAGAATGTATGACATACAAGCAGTTTCTTCCTTCCTTCTTTCTTCCCTCCCTCCCTCTTCCCTTCCCTCCATTTCTCCTTCCCTCCCACTATCTCTCCTTCCCTCCCTCCTTCCCCTCCTTTATTATTCCCTGATGCTCCTTCCTGCTTTTGCTCACCCCCAGTTTCTGTCCTGGGGAAGGGGAGGCCAGATTTTTAGAAGGAACATTCAGAAAGGAGAAAAAGGTTTTCGTTATATTTGGCCCAGGCCCCAGGGACTGAGACAGAGAATGAGAGTCTGTCCCTGACAGCTGGAGCAGAGTGCCGGTGGCGTGGGAGGCCTCTCCCACCAGCAGGTCAGCAGGACAGGGAGCCACTTTAATGAGAATACTGGGATAGAAGACGGAAGGCAGGAGAGACTACAAAATAACACCCACCAAAAGGCAGCAGCCAGGCTTCTTCCTGCACAGCCACCCAGCTCCTGGGGGATGGCCAGATACAGAGGTGTTGTAGAAGGCCGTGCCATGTAGGAAGGCTTTGGAGGCCACTGAAAGGGTGACAGGTTGGTCTCATAGCTACCAATCTGTGATGCCTTCCATGGTTCAGCTCTGCCTCTAGCCTTCTTGAAAATGGGCTTTCAATTTATTTAATTTTTATTTTTTGAAAACAAGTATCTTAGAATGATTTGAAGTCTTTAGTAGTAAAATCTCTTTGAGTAGTAAGAATTTGTAGAAAGATCTGGGAGATGGCTCAGGAGTTAAAGAGCTTGTGCAGATGAGGACCTGATTCAGTCCCCAGAACCTGTGCAAAGCAGTGTGACAGCATGCACCTGTGATCTCAGTGCTCCTGTGTCAAGACAAGGGATAGATTGGGAGAAACTGCTCAAGCTTGTGGACCAGCTAGCCTGGCACACACAGTGACAGACATGAGAAACCCTGTCTCAGGCAGTGTTGGACAAAGACCAGCACCTAAAGATGTCATCTGGCTACCACATGCATGCCATGGTACTCACCCATATCCACACATACAAAAACATACAAGAGGCACACACACACACACAAAAGAAATCCAAGCAAATATCACACATGTACACACACACTAAATAATTTATTGAAAGAAAAATGCAGGCTTATATAGCTTTTGAAAATGTTTCAGAAGGTGAGTGGAACTTTGAGGTCCAGGTGGGAACACCTCACCCTGAGAAGGCGTGTCTACAGCCGCAGTAACAGTTGGACCATTGGAGCCTATGCATAGCTCTTGCTGTGTCCCGTCTATTAAAGGCCTTGCCTGGGTATTTACAGTGCCGATCCTTCCCAGGCCTCTGACAGCTGGTTGTAGTCTCCCCATTTTACAGGTGAGGAAACCCAAATCCAGAGACCTAGGACAGCCCAAGACTACAGGGCCCATGGAGACAGTGGTCTGAGGCTTCCGGTGGTCTGGCTGGGAGGGTGTACACTCTGATGCACCTTTCTCTCTCCCCAACCAGAGTGACACTGAGAATAGAGGCTTGGCTCTGCTCTTGGCATCCTGATGACCAGATCTGTCAGGTTGTTAAACCCTTTTAGTTTTGTCTTTATTGATAATGTGGGGTTTTTTTTGTTTTTTTTTTTTTCCTACATTTACTGTGTCTTTTGCCCATTTTGCAACTATTTTGGTGTCTTATGATTCTGAAGTTTCTTTTGTGTGTATGTGGCAAATCTGGTCATTGTGCAAGGCCTTCTAGAACTGTGGAGTGGTTTGAAATGATGTAGAAGCACCTGTTTTTCCTGCCTTGCACACACCCTGCAGTGTGTCTGACACTCGGGCCACCAGGTCATTAAAGCGCCCAGGCTCTCTCAGAAGCTGTCCCAGATCTCCACACTCAGACACATCCCCTTTACTTAGATACTTAAGTGAGAGACAAAGTTATCAGCATAAACAGCAAATGAAAAACAGTCCAAAATACAGATTGCATTGAAAACGTGACACCAACACCCTGCTGTGAGGAGAAGCCTTTGTGTAACCTGGAACGGCGCAGTGGCTGAGCTGTGCTGCACACGGGAAGATTCAGTATTGTAACATGGATAACTCGGTGACAAATCTGTCATCATTACTTTTGGGTAATGCCACAGAGGGCCAAATAGAGCGTCCAGTTTTGGGTAAAGAATCTGGTGCTGGAGAAGCATGAGGTTGGGGAAAGACTATTGATATGGTGTTCAGGGCACTGGGGTCAAATCGTGGTGGCTTTTGTTACTCACAGGGTGATTTTAGGCAGGTTCCTGTCCCTGCTGTGACACAGGGAAAGAGCACTAGCACCAGGGGCTAGGTAAAGTCTCTCTCTTAGATACAAGCTTGATATGTTGAAAGTAGTTCAACCCCTTCCTTGAGACACACCTGCTATTTGCTCTTGAGTTTCCAAAACTAAGTATATTTTACTACACACACACATACACACACACACACACACACACACACACACACACACACACACATCCATGCATGCACGTGTGTGTATGTGTGTGTTCATAGGTGTATTTCATTAGGCACATTTTAAAAGCAGAATCAGTAAAGGCCACTAAACTGTACTGCAGTAGAAAATGAGAATCTTTTTTGTTGAGTGCAACTGAATGTTCAAAGTGCAGCGGGCGAAGCATCTTCTGGCTCAGAGCAAGTGCCCAGTTGGTATTTGCCTTGGCACCCCTTCTGAGAGGTAGCTCTGCCCGCAGCACCAGGCCAACACTAACTCGGCGGCACCTAGGCTCACCTCTATAAAGACCATATTTACACCATAGTCAGAATGTTCCACATGAAGAGCAGTGTAACTGCCATGGTGAGCAGACTATGTGCTTCCCTAGAGATGGGCAGGGTTGCAGTAAAGGTATAGGATCAGGGCCAAGGATGGGGGAGGGACGCTAGCCACATGGGACACAAGATTTTCAGGTCTCGGGCCTTGGTACCCTGGGGTCAGCCCTGGGAATTTTGAAATTATTTGGCTAAGGGTAACTCAATTTATGGTTGGCTCTGATTTTTCAGCATATCACCTGGGGTTGACTGGGATGGTGGTCCAAGCCCTGATCTCCTCTCTGGCATTCCTGATGGAGACATCCTAGGTGCAAGACACACAGCCACCATGAAAATCAGGAAGTACTTCATTGCTCACTTTCCTGGAAAAGGCAAGTTGAGGCTGGCAGCCAGGTACTCAAGTGTACCGTCTCTCATGTCTTCTCTGTAACCTGAGAATGACCAGCCTCAGCTGGATTGACCCAGGCCCTATAGCTGGGCAGTGGTTCTGATCAGGCAGACTGCAGTGCCTGCACCAACACACTTGAAATATGAGTTAGAAGCAGAATCTTCCAGGGCTGGTCAGCAGTTGATGCTCTTCTGCTAAGCCCCTGAGCCTCAGGTGGCCTTAGGCTGAACAGAGGCATAGGCCTGTGGTAATGTCCCTCGGAGTGCTTCTGAGAGTGCTGTGGTGCTCATGTCACCCTAGGATACTACTAAGACACCTTGCTTGTGTGAGAACCATGTGCGGTTTTCAGTTCTCATTGATAGTCTGTCTCCATAGAGGCTCTTTGCCAACAGAAATGACTGGATATTAAAATTGGATCTGGAATGTC